AAATTTCATGTGTAGGGAATATTACAAACATCAAATATTACCTCATTACATATTCATGTTAACTTCAACAACAGAAACAAGGGTTTTCACCAAAAATATTATAAAAATTTTATTTTCCAAAATTATTCATTCTGCCTTCCACCAAAAAAAAAAGTTGGTGTATTTATTAGGAAAAAAAATCGAGTTTTAATTAATGTATATGTGTAGTGATTTTCTTTTGGTACTATTACCGAATTCTTTACATTCTCAAATTCAAGAAACAACAAACCCAAAAAAAAAAAGATTATTTTTGTTTTAAAGAAAATTGATGGCTGTGGTCCGTGTACTGTTTGATTAAATGTGAAATAATAATTACATAATAATACAAAAAAAATGCCGAAATTCAATAAATCTGGAAGATTCCGTATTTGATTATTCTTCTCTTCTCACTGTTCACAAGAAGAAGCGATGATGAGTTTTGTGGCAAAGTTGTACGGAGAAAAACATGGGAATGTATTTATTCATTCGGTCGTTAGTTAAGGGAATCTTTTCTTACCGGTTTGGTCGGGATTAGGGTAAAATGTCGCTACCGACCGGACATGAGGCTGAGGAGATCTTCGTTTTCAAAGTTTCCGACTTCCCAATTCCCCGTGGAAGACGAAAGCGTCGTCAACGCCACCACGACGTACCTCATGCTCGGCCGCAGCTGCGCATTCTCTCTCGTGCTAGCCCTCGCTAGTTCCGCCATCTGAAAACCGCCAACATTTCCTCATCATCATCTCGTTAGTCCGAAACCACGAAACCGAAACAGCTTTGAAAAGGGTTTGAGCTATGGCTGGGGTACTCTAATCAGTTAGTCTTGGGATATCCGCGGGTATCCGAGCTGTCGTCGTATCCCGAGAGTACCCGAACCGACCCTCACAAAACCGAGAACGGGTACTCTAATCAATAAACCTGAGAGGCCCAGGCCGAGATAAAAAATACCGGAAAACTCAGGTACCGACCTGTACCCATCCCTAGTTCAGATGGTTTAGCGTACATACCTTGTAGACCGATTCGATCACGTAATCATCCCCGAGCCTAGGGTCGATGATCTTACGCAGAGCTTCTTTCGGGTCTGGTTGGTTGAACACTTCCTCAAACTGCAGAAAAACAACAAACTCGTATAACTCTTGAGATTTTATACGCATCTCTCAATGCGTAAGAGTTTCGGAAGACGATTGATGAAGCATACTAACCAAACCGACGAGTCCCTTGAACTCGGAATCGGTTCCGCTCAGCTTTACAACCGCGGGTTTCGCGGAAATTAGCTCGTAAAGGACTACTCCGAAAGCGTATACATCTCCTTTTGCAGAAACATCTCCATAAACAGCCCTGGTAGATCATAAATAACATTTGCTACAAAACAGTAAGTAGCTAAAGAACTGTAAACAGATTCTTCTATTCATGTTCTCTCGTATTTCATCTGAACCAGTTGGAAGAGAAATGCAGAAAACATTACTTACTCGGGCGGCATATAACCGAATGTACCCATTGCACCTCGCGTCATCGTGCCTCCGACTTCCGTGAGTTTCGCCAACCCGAAATCCGCAACCTGTAATGCGAGCCAATTCAGTGTGATAGGACACAATAGATAGGGTTTAGTTTTATGTTTTGGTTAGAGATTTATAATGACTGAATTTCTCAAACTGTATTCAACAAGAATCATCTTAAATCTTACCTTTGCTCGGAAGTTGCGGTCTATCAAGATATTTTCGGATTTAATGTCCCGATGAATATAAACCGGAACCGTGTGCTCGTGGATATATTCTAAACCTCTAGCGGAGTCGAGGGCTATTTGCACTCTCTTCGTCCATGGCAGTGGATCCCGTTCTGCGTACAGAAAAGGGCTCGTTTGTTAAAAATCGATGAAACCCTTTTAAGTTAACATCATTATCCGCCGTAATTCGGGTTTTCCTTATCCTACTATACCTGAGCCACGCAAATGCTGAGCTATATTCCCGTTCTCGATATACTCGTACACCAGGAAGAGAGAACCCTCAGTACAGTATCCAATCAAACGCACCTGCACGAAAAGTCGATGGAATACATTTCATTATCGCCCTAAAGACGAGATTCAGAAGACAGGAATACTAGATCTATAGCACGTCAATCTTAAAGCCGGCATCTTTCGATAGAGATAAGAAGCGAAGAATTCACAATCAAAGAGAGCTATAAGCCCTTTACCAGATTGACATGATGTACTCGGGTTAAGACCTTTAGCTCGGCCAAGAACTGTTTCGCATCTCCCATTTGCATTTTCTTGACAGCAGCTTTCTACAAAAAAACGGTGGTTCATTAGCCGATTTCGGTATAAAAACCTCAAAAAGTGAGTCTAATTAAGTTTCATTCGTGAAAAAAATAAGAACTGAGAGCTTAATAAGCTTTCGTTAAGCTAAAAGGTCCTAGAACGGTAGCTTTAGCCGATTTCGGTATAAAAAGCTGATAATATTGTAAATGGCGACAAGGGTTTCGACTGCAAAGATAGTAGTAATTCAGAGGAATGCAACCGAGAGAAAAATACTACCGAGCATGTTATCGATAAAGCTAAAACGAGTATGCTTACTTCTCCTCTCAGCTCGGCGTAGTAGACAGCCCCGAAACCACCTTCGCCAATCTTGTAAGCCATGCTGAAATTGTCGGTAGCCCTAGCGAGCTCCTCATACGAAAACTCCACAGACTTGTCCACAGTTATGGCTGCAATGCCCAGAGAGCGGCCAGAATCCTGAACGCTAGAAGCGGAAACTAAAACGGAATAGAGAACATTATGCACAGATTTAGTAACTTCTTTTCTGCTTAAAGATCCCTTTGAATTTCTGCATAATCCGAACAGAAAATCGCCAACAAACGTTACCGTGATAATCGTTAGCTGATAACTCAACTGAGGATGTAAGAAGAGCG